GGCGCCAAATTTGACGAGCACTTTGTCACGGTGCGTCAAAATAATTTTCAATACTAACACTTATACGTAGTATAGCGTAGTAGAGTTCGTATCCACATGGAAAGGAATGATTTTCTTTTTATGATACTTAGTAAATAAAAGGGGGGATTTGGATTGAGTGATTTAATTTAATTAAGAACTAAGATGAACAACCTATATGAGATTTAATTCAAAGATAAAAAGGACTTGGCATTGCTACTTTCCACTTGTTGATATATTTTAGTCGATCTTTGTTATATCTATAACTTATTCCCTCTCGAATACTCAATCGGGGAGTATATCCACTTCATCGAGGGTAGTTATTAACAACAACCATTCATTAATAACACTTACTATTAATCAAATATAGAACAACGCCTTATACCGATTTAATAGTAGCATTTAATCTTTCTAACTCCTTGATGAAATCAATTGAGATTGATAACCTCAACACAAGCGGTTTCGGTTTAACCAACAAAATTAATCCCTCTTAAGTTTATTAACCACGACCGTGCATTAATAAACCGAAGTTACTTACTTGTGAAATAATCAACGATTAACCATCGGTTCGTTGATCGTTTCTAGTAATAATTAATATATGAAACAAAACTAGTTGATCCTTTAAGTAATAATGTTCAAAATATTAATATGAAATATGAGTAGGGATTAATTAATATTCAAGGAAGAATATTATTAAAGAAGATGAATCCTACTATAATTAATATCAAGATGTTAACTAATTGTCATCTTAGCAACACTTCTCAATATTAATATAGAGGAAGAAAATATCATTCTAATTAATGTCGAGATGTTAACTAATTGTCATCTTAGCAACACTCCCCAACATTAATATAGAGATGGTATTAAGGAAAGAACTATGAATTAATATTCAAGGAAAGAAGTTAAGAAAATAACTCACAACTTTAATAATAAACAAGCTTCAAGAGCAACACCAAGATTGGAAGTTTAGCTCCTCATTTGGAGATTAAACATAGCTAGAAAAATATAAAGAAATGCTATTCTAAACTGAGCTTAAGAGTATGGAAGAAGGGATTATTTTTAGAGAAGAAAAAGTGTGTTATTTATAGGTGTTTTTCAACACCTTTGGCCGGGTACCCGACCGGGTCAAGTACTCACCCGACCGGGTCCGGTCAAAATAAAATATTTCCCCACGTTCTGGCGATCTTCGGCATGTTAAAGTGTCCGGGTCAAGTCGGACCCGACCGGGTGGGGTAGGGGACCCGACCGGGTGAGTGCAAAAATTGGATATTCTTCACGTTCGGGTGATCTTTGTACGCCGGGTTGTCCCCGGTCACTTCTCACCCGACCGGGTGAGGTAGTGGGCCCGACCGGGCCATGCACTTTCTTTGCATTTTCGTTTTTCACTTCTTACCCGACCGGGTCAAGTGTTATACCCGGTCGGGTATTTGCTCCTGGGCAGCCAAATCTTCTTTTTCTTCACTTCAAAGTCTTCCTTTCCAACACCACAAATCCTAACTAAACTTTACAACTTACAAATAAAGACTAAAATACAATTTCAACTGAAATCACATAAATGTTTACAAACTAAATAAAATGTCAAACAATTAACATAAATCAAACATAAACACATGTAATTATGCACTACTAATTAGTGTGCATCACTTGATTACCGTTGACCAGATGTTTGACTCTCGAAGCCAGATCTGGTACCGACCTCGGATGCATCGAGGTCGGGCTCATAAGTTGACGAGTTCGGTTGATCCCTGAGCCTGATGTTTCCCCGACCTCGGGGTCGGGGTCGGACGACTTTGTTATCCGCCGAGTTTGGATGACCCCTGAGTTTGCTGTTTTCCTGACCTCGGCGGTAAGGGTCGGTGTCAGTCTCAGATGTGGACTTAGTATTTTCACGTACTCCGGAATTGGTCCGTGATATTTTATACCGGCGATTATGATACCACTGGGGTATACGGGAATATACTCCATCACATTGAATTAGTGATTGAGTTCCACTATATTTCTTTTTCATCTTTCAACTCTCTCACCAGAAACATTTTAATTAGTGAGCAGGTATTTCTCATATACATTATGTACATTCTCATTTGCCATTCTCATTTCAGATATTTGTATTCTCATATGCATCATTATTCACAAAGCTCTGAGAAATAAAGACATTCCAAATAACAAAATTAGATACATGCAGTCTCACCTTGTACTGTTGTACCAACATCAAGAAAAAACAGATCAATTAACATAATAAGAAATCAACAAATGATATAAGAAATTGAGAATATTTATTAAAAGACGGCCCCATAGAGTGATGAATAAATAATAATGAGTAATGAAAAACATTACATAAGTAGTACTCCTTCCGTCCGAGTATAATTGTCTGATTTTACCTTTTTTGTTCGTTCCACTAAATTTATCTCATATCATATTTGATAATATTCGTGTGGCTCTAATTCATTTTTATTTTGAAATAATGACCCTAATATTACCTTTAGAGTTGTGATGGGCATAAATATGACATCTTTTAGTTTGGACATAAAAGTGACTAAATTAAATGAAATTAAATGCTGTAACCTCTAAATAGTAAATACAACTTCATTCAAAACCAAAAAGAAACTAAATGCATAGACCTAAATAATAATATGCAGATCCCCTCCATCTTTTCTTTGACACAAGAGCATTGGATGAAGCTGCTGCCCAGCCTGCCCTCCATCTTTTATCTTAGATCCGACATCCGAGCACAAGATTTGCCGCCGCCGGGCCCATCCTGCCGTCTTCACATGCATCCACCGTCGCTGCCCTACTACCACGCACTAGTCGCAACCCCTTCTCGAATCCCACCCCTCTCGTCTTCTTCTCTTTCTGTGTTATGTGTGATTGGGACTGATAGCGACGAACCCAACAACTATAGAGACGACGAGCGTTGGCGGCGATGGGCGCAATGATGGTCAGCAATGGCAGCGGGCGACGAAGTCTTCGTGAGGTGTGATAGATCTATATTCAGTGGGTGGGGTGGGGTGCGAGGGTGGGGTCCGGAGGGTGGGGAAGCGCTATGCAACGTGGGGGGGGGGGGGGGGTGTGAGGCTGGGGAGGGAGCTTAGGGCTAGAGAAGGGGGTTAGGTGAGCCAGGGCGGACCGCGGTCACCCAGATGGGGGTGGGGATGGGGATGGGGGCGGCAGTCACCATCAGGTTGTGATTGATCACTGGCCGTAGGTCACTTCCATGGCAGTTACTACGGCGGTAGTCACTAGTCATGCGGTAGTCACTAGCCGGATGACGGAGTAGTCACTGAATGGTGGAGTAGTCACTAAATGGCGGAGTAGTCACGACTATTATTGTAGCGGCGATCATTGAATGGCGGAGTAGTTACGACAGTCATTGAACCACATAGGGCAATCACGTCACTGAACCACATAGGAATTACAGTGACTGGTAGCAATTTTGGGAGTCACCGAATTTATTTTGAGTCAATGAGAGGCTGTTTAGGTTGAAATTAGTGGGCACTAATGTGGTCTCTAATTAAAGGATCAATAAGGGTTAATATGGAGTCACTAATGTGGTGTCTAAAGGACTGACAAGGAATAGTGTAGGGAGGGGATGGGGCAGTTCCGGTGTCATGGAGCGGGCCGGGTGTATTTTATTACTAGTGTCTGAACGATATCACTAAAGTCACTACACTCAGGTGTATTTTATCATTAGTGAATGAGCAATAACTCTGAAGTTACTATTTGGACAGCATGACATCACTAGAAAATGAAATCAGTGACTTAGGATGAAGAACATACTATAATTTAGTTACTATCTCAAAAATCACTTTGTTAGAGACTACCAATTTTTTAAAAAAAAAATATTAATCACTCCGTAGGCGACGATTCCTTTCAAACAAGGATTACGCTTTATCCCAACATGGAAGTCTGTGCTAATTAGTTACTATTTGCTATCAGGATTGCACAAATGTATACATCTAGTAACTATGTTAAAAGAATAAATGAAACGGGTCAAATATATGCTTTCAGTTACCAAATTAATAATGATAAGTAATTAATGCATCCGATTTTTTTGGTTAGCAGTTTTCAAGAGAGTCAAACTAAACATTTATTATTTTTGTCTTTTGAAATATTATTAGTAATATTTATAAAAAAAGGTCTTTTATTTTATTCTCACTTTATCAATCCTTTGTATCAATATTAAGGGTATGTTTGGGAGTTTAGAGGGAACGGGGGAAGACTTTGGAGGTATGTTGTTGGATGGGAAAGGGAGGGGAGGGTGAGGAAACTCTTCTTTGTATTTGGGAGTAATGAATTTGGAAGAAGAGAGTCTTTTAATGAATTATAATTAAAATCACTTTGAGATATGACAAATTCAAATAATTGAACTGGTTTTTTTAAGTGAGCTTAAATTACCATTTTGTTAATTATCTTTCAAAACCCTCTTCAAATTGGGGGAACTCAAAAATTGAGCATTTAGAGGGTTTTAGAGGGTCACCAAAGCCCTCCAAAAATCATCCCTTCCAATTTTATAAACTCCCAAACATGAATAGGAGGATCATAAAACTCCATCATCCTTCCACTTCCCTCCAAAATCCAACTCCCAAACACACCCTAAGGGTATGTTTGGGAGTTTGGAGGGAAGGGGAGGGGAAGACTTTGGAGGTATGTTGTTGGAGGGGAAAGGAAGGGAAGGGTGAGGAAGTCCTTCTTTGTATTTGGGAGTAATAAAATTGGAAGGAGAGGGTTTTTGAAGGAATTATAATTAAAATCACTTTGAGATATGACGAATTCAAATCATTGAGCTGATATTCGTTTCTAATTTAGCTTAAATTACCATCTTGTTAATTATCCTCCAAAATCCTCCAAATTGAGGGAACTTAAAAATTAAGCATTTAGAGGGTTTTGAAGGGTTACAAAAGCCCTCCAAAACCACCTCTCCAATTTTTTAAACTCCCAAATATGAAAAGGATGGTCATAAACCCCCATTAACCCGTGAGAATAATGGAATGGCTTACCCAATAGGTAGCCCTAGATGTCATATATATAATAAAGAGTCTTGAATACAATAGGAAACATAATAAATATGGAAACCTAATTAATGGGTATTAATTACTCTATTACACCCCCTCAAGCTGTGGAGGGGAAACAATGCGCAGATTGTCTCTAAGAAAAATAAAACGCTGTGGAGACAGACTCTTTGTAAAAATATCTGCAAGCTGAAACTGTGTCAGAACATAACGAACAACCAGATCTCCATGTGAGACTCTCTCACGAACAAAGTGATAATCAATGCTGATGTGTTTGCTCCGAGCATGCTGAATAGGGTTTGTAGATAAGTAAGAGGCCGAAATATTATCACACAACAATCGCACGGGCTGAGAAATCGGCACCCCTAACTCGAACAGTATAGAACGGATGTGGAGAGTATCCTGAACGGTGTAGGCAATAGCCCTGTACTCAGCTTCCGTCGAAGAGCGGGAGACAGTCGGCTGCTTCTTGGATTTCCACGAGATTAAATTAGGGCCCAGAAAAATAGCAAAGCCTGAAGTGGATCGACTGCTATCAGGACAACCAGCCCAATCAGTATCAGAGTATGCCTGTAAAATAGGAGGAGAAGTACTCGGCTGTAGGAGCAAACCATGATCTGTAGTTCCCTGAAGGTACCTGAAATCACGCTTAACAGCCAAAAAATGTGAAGTGCGAGGGGCATGCATAAACTGAGAGACCAAGTGAACAGCAAAGGTAATATCTGGTCGAGTCATTGTCAAATACTGTAAGGCACCTACCATACTTATGTACTCCGTAGGCTCAGCTAGAAGATCACCATCAGCGGAGTACGAACAGGTTTAAGAGTGTGAAGATGAAATCTGGTTTAAGAGTGTGAAGATGAAATCTGGTTAAGAGATCAGACACATATTTTTTTTGAGACAGAAACAAACCTGAGGACGTTTGAACAGCTTGGACACCTAGGAAAAAATGTAAATTCCCCAAATCTTTCATGGCAAAACAGCGGCCAAGACAAGAGATAAATGTAGAAATAAAGGAAGGGGAATTACCAGTGATAATAATGTCATCTACATACAGCAACAGATAAAGAACATGTGACCCATGGCGATAAATAAATAAAGAATTATCGGACTTGCTACAAATAAAACCATGAGTCAACAAAAAACTACTGAAACAATAGAAACCAGGCCCGTGGAGCCTGTTTGAGACCACAGATTGCCTTCCTGAGGCGACAAATATGATTAGGAAATTGTTGATGTATAAAGCCAGGAGGTTGACGCATATAAACCTCTTCAGTGAGATTTCCATGAAGAAAAGCATTTTTGACATCTAACTGACGAATGGTCCACCGACACGAAACAGCAAGAGATAAAACAATACGCACGGTGGTGGGTTTGACAACAGGACTAAAGGTCTCAGAAAAGTCCACACCAGCTTGCTGAGTAAATCCCTGTGCAACTAAGCGTGCTTTATAACGCTCAACAGACCCATCAGATTTAAAATTTGTTTTATAAATCTACTTAGATCCAACCACATTTTTGCCAGCGTGAAACGGAACCAAATCCCACGTATGATTATCAATTAAAGCATTAAACTCCTCTGCCATAGCGACCCTCCATTTAACATCTTTATTAGCCATAGAAAAACAAGAAGGATCACATGCCGAAATATCTGTTTTCAGAGTAAAAATATTTTTAGGTTTAAAATGCCAGATTTAGCACGAGTTTGCATTGGATGACAAATTTTAGGAGAAGGTGCGGGCGGGATGGGACTAATATCACGAGGGCTGGTCGTATGGGCGGAGTGGAAGGACGGTGGTGAGGAAATAGGAGAGGTGGGTACGTGTGGGCTGTCTGCTGCCGAAAGAGTGGCGGTGGGAGTGGTCGGTGAGTGCACGGCAGAAGCAGTGGCCGCTCGTGAAGTAGACTGTGAGTAGTCTGGGGACTGCCGCAGTATGTCGAAATCAGGCAAATGTTCGGCTGGTAGCTGGTCGGGTGCATGGTGGTGATGCAATGTTACGGTATTAACGTTGGACAAATTCGTGGGAGATGTGGAAGAAGTTAAAACAGAATATGGAAAATAATTTTCATAAAATCGCACATTTCTATTGATGTAAATCTTGTTCGTAATAGGATCGAGACAACGATAACCTTTATATTCAGGAGCATATCCTAAAAATACACATAAAGTGGATCTAGGTGAAAGCTTGTTGGCAGATGTGGCATTAAAATTTGGAAAGCAGGCTGATCCAAAGACACGCATAAAAGAGAAGTCAGGAGAATGGTGGAATAATTTTTCAAAAGGAGATATGCCATTTAAATTAGGTGTATGAAGACGGTTAATAATAAATGTTGCGGTAAACACCGCATCTACCCAAAATTTAGCAGGCATGTTTGCTTCAAAAAGCATAGTGCGAGTTAATTCAAGGAGATGCCTGTGTTTACGCTCAGCTACACCATTTTGCTCAGGAGTATCGGGGCATGATTTGCGAAATAAAATGCCATTTTTGACAAAAATATCACGCATTCCATGATTATCAAATTCACCCCGCCATCACTTTGAAAAATTTTAATTTTAGAATCTAGTAAATTTTCCACCATTGATTTAAAGTGTTGAAAATGTGTAATGACTTCCCTTTTATGGCGCATGGGATAAAGCCAAGTAAATCGAGAAAAGTCATCAATAAATAAGACATAATATTTAAAACCACTCACAGAAAGAATAGGAGACTGCCAAACATCAGAATGAATTAAAATAAGGGAGCAGTAGATTTATGCCACACTTCTTGAAAAGGTAATCGTTGTGACTTGCCTAAGCGACAAGAAATACAGTCATGAGAAAAACTAGAAGTACTAGTAATAGTGCCAGATTTTTTTAATTTATCTAAAATACGACTTCCACAATGTCGCAAGCGACGATGCCAGACCGGGCCGGGAGCAACATGTGAGATGAGAGCTACTGGTGAGGGATGTGTGAAGGAAATAGGATAAACGCCGTCATTACTGGAAGCTTGGAGGAGCACCTTCCCCGAAATTGTGTCCTTAATAAAAATAGAATTTTTATCAAAAATCACAAAACAGTTATTATCGGCACATAATTTTTGAATAGATAGAAGATTGTATTTAAGATTAGGCACATGGAAAACAGATTTTAAATGAAGAGACCGTGGCATAGTAGATAAATGCAAATCACCAACAGTCATAACAGGGAGATTAGTGCCATTAACAGCTGTAATTTGCAGCGGTCCAGAATAAGTAGATATATTTTGCAAAATACCTTCATTTGATGTCATGTGAGCAGCTGAATGACCTGGAGAATAACAGATTTGACACACAACAGGGGGAGGGACCGAACCAAAACTATTCTCAAAAGATGGAGATCCTGCAGAAGCATAGTTAGTACATAAAGGAGATAGAACCGGAGTATAAAACGATGACGCAATAGAATTACAAATAACTGTACCCGGCCGGTCCCCACTGATTTGGCTGATTTGCACCGCGGCCAGACTGTTGGAACTGTTGCTGGCCGTAATAGGAAGGAGGCCCGTACGTCTGCGGCTGCCGGTGCCGTCCTCTGTCGCGCCCTCGTCCGTGGCTGCCACGCCGTCCGCCACGCCCTCCGCGAGAAGATTGCTGCTGATTGGCCGGAGATGGAGCAGTGCCCGAATGCGAACCCCCCCTGCGGAACTGGATGCAGCAAACGCCGGTGTAGGGATGGTGGGTTCCAAGGACTGTTGATAGCGGAGACGGGCATCTTGATGGACCAATTTTGTGCCTAGAGAATCAAAAGTGAGTCCTTCGGGAAACAAGGTAAGAGCTCCCACTAGTGACTCATAACCCGGCCCCAATCCTAAAAGAGTAATTTCAATGAGATCAGCATTGGAGACCGGTGCATTGATGGCTGCCAAATTATCAGCAATAGTTTGAATTCCCCGAACATACTCCTCCATGGATTGATTTTCCTTTTTCTTGGAACGCTGAAGCATTTGTTTTAGTTCCATGGAGCGTGCAAGACTGGCTGCCATGAATCGAGATTCCAAACGTTGCCAGATGGACACAGAATTCTTCAAGGAGTGGACTTCCATCAAAATATCTCTAGACAAAGTAGCAAATAGCCAAGCACGTACTGCCTGATCTAATTTAAGCCAATAATAATATTCAGGATTCGGGGACTGAGCCTGATATAAGTCATAGGTATACATAGGCGGAGCTGGTAGAGAGCCATCCAGAAAACCCAAAAGGCCGTTGGCAACTACAAAGGATTCAAATTGAGTGCGACAGGGTGAATAATCTTCAACAACCACTAATTTGGAGGTCACGATCTGTGTAACGGAACCTCCAAATGTCACACCTTGAGTAAGCGATGCATAAGATGTAGGCATAGGAGTGGGCTGTTGACCGATGGTTCCAACCGAAGGCAGATGGACACCCGGACTGCCTGACAACGTTGGCCCTGCGAACCGAGGGACGCCGGAGGTGCTGGCGGTGTGGTGCGGAACATCTGGAGGCGGCGAGCGTTGCGGCTGAACCATGGGGCGGAAAGTCGGCGCTGACGGAGTCCAAGTAAAGATGGGAGGGACCCACGACGCTGCCGGAACTGTGAAAGAGAACATCGAGTAGGGGTGCGAGCGGAGCGGGTCATCCCTGGAGGAGAGCGCCGCCGTCGGCGAAGCAGTTTCCGTTGCGCTCGGCAGAGTTGCAGTCACAGCCGATTCGGCGGTTGTGACTGGTTGTGCGGCGGAGGTAGGAGAGCCGAAGGAAGCCATAGGTCCGGAAAAAAAATAGCTGCGGCTAAAACCTAGAGCTCTTGATACCATGCGAGAATAATGGAATGACTTACCCAATAGATAGCCCTAGATGTCATATATATAATAAAGAGTCCTGAATACAATAGGAAACATAATAAATATGAAAACCTAATTAATGGGTATTAATTACTCTATTATAACCTCCTTTCTCCCCTCCAAAACCCAACTCTCAAACACACCTAAAGAGATGGAGGTAGTCCAAATTAAAGAAATGAAAATAAAATAAATCTTGCGTACCTCACCCTGTCACCGAGCCACTCTATATCCTCTATCCCTCTAACAATAATCAATAGTTATCAACAATTCTATCCATCTAAAGTTGGGATAACTGCCGAACACTTGAGCTTGTTTGAACTATATAGAGTATTTTCATTTAATCTTTTCGCATGAAGTTTCTATCCTCTGCTCATGTATGAGAGGTTGAAATGAAGCACTGAAGAGCCGAACATATCCTTACTAATAGGTTATTTTCTCAAATATGGGGCCCCTCCAAAAATGGGGGCTCTAGGCAGCTGCCTTGGTTAACTCCCCGACTCTGTTCGAATCTGATGGTTGTTATAAGTATTGAGTAAATTTTCATTACGAGGGTGTGATGATGTAGTTTTCTATTTTCTTTCTTCTCAGGCTTTTATAATTCTGAATATTTAGTCATTGGGAGGACTCAGATGCGTATCTTGTCACAGCAATTTGGAAATGGACCTGTTGCAGATATGACGACTTCCCTTCCATTTCCCTAAGGAGAAAACGACTATCTCAGCCCTCTAAAAAACAACACTACCACAGTTTCACAAAGGAGCTCTCTCCTACGGTAGAAATAGTGAGTTTTTGACTCCGTTGAAAATTAAGATATAGGTTCTCAAAAAGTAAAACTATACATACATTTGTGTATGTATACATGTATTTATCTTCCTCGTCGACCAAGAGCCATTTTGGATGACCTCATACTTTAGTTTCTTTGTTATTGTTGATTAGAGAGAACTTTATGACATTAGAAAATACAAGAATTTTGGTTGAAGAAACACAATTGGTTGCCGACCCAAATTCTTTTGGTATTAAGGGTTGGATCAGTGGATGTTGTTGTTCTTGTTTTATCATATAGAAATTACTTCAAATAGGACTAAAACTATGTCAAAAACTTAAAATAGAATTTACTATGTTTTTCTTTTCAAAATAGGACCAAATTAGTCCTATCGGAAACATACCTATTTTTTCCTTCCATTCTTACCCTTCCTTTAAATATGAGTTAATTAAATGTTTAATTCATAATAAATTCGAAAAAATTTAAAAATTCGTACAAAAACAATTAAAAAATTTATAAAATATATATAAAATAAAAAATTAAAAAAATATATTTTTTAAATTTTTTTATATTTTTAAAAAATTAATAAAAAATAGTAAAACTCCATAAAAAAATTAAAATATATATGGATGCCTTTCCCACCGCCTGTATTACCTCCCTGCACCACCCGTTGGATATTCATACATATATCAACAAAACTCCATATGTGATATATATATATATATATATATATATATATATATATATAAATATAATAGCTAAATCCAAGATTAGAACAATACCTTGAGAATTCATTTGCATTAACACTTTAGGAAGACCCAGAAATCCAAGACCGCTACTAGGCTAAACCCTCCGGTGCTATGTACCGTATGAGATATTTTTTTTAGTCCTACCAATTGATGGGATATTTATAGGACAAGAGTAACTTGTAACGGTTTGGCCTTATTAATTTATAATTATTCCTTCATCATTACTACAATAATGATATTAAGTAGAATAATTTATTAGACCATTTTCCGTTACGATGTCGTTACAATTATCTCTTTATTTACATGCACCAGGGGTCATAATCGTTGTATCACTTTAGTATAATATATTTAATTTGACCTGTCACCAAAAGAAATATATTATCCTGGTATCTACATTTTTATTATTTCATGAATAGCCATTGTATTATTTATCTGATGTTAAACACATTTTAATTAATTACATATTAGGCTCCTTTTATTGTTTTCCAACAATCTCCCACTGGGCCTTATATGTAATTCTTAACAAAATGTGTTATCTTTATGAGCTCAAAAATACCATCATATAAAATAACATGCTTAAACAATCTTGTCCATCAGGCATACTAATATAGAACCATTGCACCATTTTGTCATGTTAAACATAACTATACCACCAATGATTACTTATATCAATATTACATAATGACATAGATCAATCATGAAATGTGTAGCATGAAAATTACATGAAATGTGGCATGTACATGTGAATTTTCAACTGACCCTTCTTTAATAAACTTTAAACTTCAATGACTTAATTGTTCAGAATACACCAAATGTCAAACTTTATTCTGATCAGAAAACAAATACATCAAACATAACTTATAACTCCCACTAAACTCGATGTTCCTTAAAATAAATGACTCCCAAGTGAGCAGTGTGCTCATGAAAAACTTTTGGTGGGAGACCCTTGGTTAAAGGATCCACTAGCGTGGAGTTTGTACTTATATGTTCAATAGCGACCCTTTTATTCTGAACCCTTTCTTTAATAGCTCGATATTTCACTTCAATGAGTTTTGTCTTACTTGAGCTCTTGTTGTTGTTAGAGTAAAGCACCGTAGAATTGTTGTCACAAAATATCTTAATAGGCTTTGGTAGTTCATTAAATATTTTTAGCCCATCAATAAAATTGTGCATCCATATTCCGTGGTTTGAAACTTCAAAACAGGCCAACAACTCTGCCTCCATAGTTGAGGTAGCTATCATATCTTGCTTAACACTTTTCCAATATACAGCACCATACACTAGTAGAAAAACATGGCCTGAAGTAGATCTACTAATGTCTTTGCAGCCGGTGAAATCAGAGTCAGAGTATCCAATGACCTCCAAATGATCTGATTTTCTATATGTAAGCATATAGTCCCTTGTTCTCTTCAAGTATCTCATAACTCTTTTGGCCGCCACCCAATGAGCCATTCCTGGATTACTGAGATATCTGCCTAGCATCCCAACAATGTACGCAATATCCGGATGCGTACAAACTTAGGCATACATAAGACTTCCTACAACAGATGCGTAGGGAATCTTTTTCATTTCTTGAATTTCCAGATTTGTTTTAGGGCACTGATCAAGACTAAGCTTGTCTCCTTTAGAGATAGGGGTATCACCCGGTCTACAATCTTCCATGCCAAATCTTTTAAGCACCTTATCGACATAGTTTCTTTGTGATAACCTTAAGATTCCTTGTGATCTCTCACGAAGGATTTCAATTCCTAATACAAAGGAGGCTTCACCAAGATCTTTCATTTCAAAATGTTTTGATAGAAATCTCTTGGTTTCATGCAACATGCCTATGTCATTGGTGACAAGAAGAATGTCATCAACATATAAGCCCAGGGAAAAATTTTTACTCCCACTGAACTTATGATATACACAATCATCTACATCATTCATCTTAAAACCAAAGAATAAAATGACTTGATGAAATTTGTGATACCATTGACGAGAAGCATGTTTCAGCCCATAGATGGATTTTGTTAATTTGCAAACCATTTGTTTTGGATCTCCTATCACAAAATTTTCTGGTTGCACCATATAAATAGTTTCATCAATGTCACCATTGAGAAACGCTGTCTTAACATCCATCTGATGAAGCTCTAAATTAAAATGTGCAACTAAAGCCATAATGATTCTAAAAGAGTCCTTTGATGAAACCGGAGAAAATGTCACTTTATAATCAATTCCTTCCTTTTGAGTATAACATTTAGCTACAAGACGAGCTTTATATCTCTCCACATTACCCCTTGAATCCCTTTTGGTTTTAAATATCTATTTACAACCAATGGGTTTATAACCTTCCGGTAATGGGACGAGTTCCCAAACTTTATTGTCTTGCATAGATTTATACTCTTCATTCATTGCCACAATCCACTTTTGAGAATTTGAACTTTTCATGGCTTGATGGAAGTTGATTGGATCATATTCCATAACTCCATTTTCTTCCTCATGTTCTTGAATAAACACAAGGACATCGTTCATTGTATCCATGCTTGACACATGTTCTTGGAGATATACAACATAATCACTTGGAATTGCGTATCTCCTTTCTTTAGTGGATCGCCGCAATGGCACATTTTCTTGTTGCACTTGTTCTAGAGGAAGTTGAGTTTGTTCATTTTGAATAATTTGTTCAGTTTGGAAAGGGTCAGATGAAATAATGCCTTGTTGAGGTTCCTCATTAGTTTCAAAAGAAACATCCGTATGAATTGGTTCAGGTATTGAAATCAATTCTTCCTCAAAGACAATATCCCTAACTTTATTCTTCCCCCCAAACTCAACATCCTCGAAAAATATGGCAGTTCCCGTTTCAAAAATATTTTTATCCTCAGGATTATAAAATTTATATCCCCTAGATCGTTCCGAGTAACCAATAAAGTAACTACTAACTGTTTTGGGTTCCAGTTTCTTTTCATGTGGCCTATACGGCTTTGCCTCAGCTGGACAACCCCAAATATGAAAGTGCTTTAAACTAGGCTTTTTACCCGTCCAAAGCTCATAAGGTGTTTTAGTAGTTGCTTTAGTTGGCACTCGATTAAGAATGTAAGCTGTGGTCTTTAATGCCTCACCCCAGAGGGATTCGAGTAAGATAGAGTGAGAAATCATACTTCTTACCATTTCTTTAAGGGTTCTATTACGTTTCTCAGCTACACCATTCATGTTGGGTGAACCCGGCATGGTGTATTGAGGGATAATCCCACATTCCTCTAGAAATTTGGCAAAAGGACCTGGACGTTGTTCACCTGAGCCGTCATACCTTCCATAGTATTCACCACCACGGTCGGATTTGACTTTCTTTATGCGTTTGTTGAGTTGATTCTCAACTTCCGCTTTGTAAGATTCAAACACGTCCAAGACTTGAGACTTTTCATGTATAAGAAATAAGTAAGCATATCTAGAGTGATCGTCTATGAATAACACAAAATATTGTTGACCATTCCATGAAGGAGTAGGGAATGGCCCACAAATATCAGTGTATTAATTCTAAGACATCCGTAGCTCTATATGCTCCTTTTTTCTTATTTTTGGTTTGTTTTCCTTTAATGCACTCAATACAAGTATTCAAATCAGAAAAATCAATGGAATCAAGTGTTCCATCAGACACAAGACGTTCAACTCTATTTTTAGAGATGTGACCTAATCGTTTGTGCCATAAAAAATTAGATTGTGCATTATCAACCTTTCGCTTAGTGTCTCGGGTGTCAATATTCAAAACATTATTATATGAAGTTATTGTTTCAAACATGTAAAGATTGTCATATGATATAAAAGAACCAGTCCCCACAATATTTGAATTTAAAGACAAATTAAACCGGAAGTTTCCAAAAGAACAATGATAACCCAATTTGTCCAAATAAGAAACAGAAACCAAATTCCGCCTAAATGACGGAACAACAAAAGTGTCTTTTAAATCCAAATAGAAACTAGTAGACAATAACAATCTAAAATTCTCAATAGCCTCCACATCCACAGCTTTACCATCTCCCACATAGACGCATATTTCAGCATCATTTGGCTTGTGGTGGCTCAGACAACCCTGCATAGAAATACTGATGTTAGATGTTGAACCGGAGTCTAACCACCAAGTATTTCTAGGCACTGAAGCTAAATTGTTTTCAGTACAAACCAAGGTAAGGACCATACCTTTCTTTAGTTTCCAAGCGTGATACTTGGTACAATCCTTCTTCATGTGTCCAGACTTCTTACAGAAGAAACAGGTTGTTTCACCTTCCTTATGTTTCTTCTGTACTGGATCTTTAGCAGCTTCATTCTTAATGGGAGTTCTCTTCCTCGTTTTACCCTTTTCCTTAAAGGTACTAGCCAAGTGAGCATTTTCTGTCTTATTTTGTTTCATCCTCTCTTCCTCTTGCACGCAATATGAAATGAGCTCGTTAAGAGACCACTTCTCCTTTTGGCAGTTATAACTAATCTTAAAAGGATCAAATGCAATAGAAAGATAGTTCAAGACTATGTGCACGAGAACATCTTCCGATATCTCAATCTTAAGTGTCTTGAGCCTAGAAACAATATAAGACATTTCCATAATATACTCCCTTATATTTCCTTTTCCTGAATACCTTTTGGAACTAAAGTCTTTTAACAACATGCTTATTTTCGTCTTATCGCTTTTAACAAAACGTTTCTCAATTTCAGAAAGGAAATCCTTGGCATTAGTAACCTCATCAGATACAGCACCCCTAAAAGATTCTGGAATGCCACGCTTTATGATCATAAGACTTAAGCGATTCGAGCGATCCCATTCTCATAGTACCTTTTTTCATCTTGGATACTAGCATCCGTAAGAGAAGCGGGTTGCTCTACCCTTAATGCTAAGTCGAGATCCATGCAGCCCAAAGTTATTAGAATATTTTCTTTCCATTCCATAAAGTTAGTACCATTTAGGACAAGGATGGAGTTGAGATTGGCAAATATGTTCGAAAAATTAACTGTAGAAAGAACAAGACAATAAACATATATTTTAGTGAAATTGTAAAATGATATTCAACCCATCACAAGATACCAAATGCACCATTAGTATTTCATCTTTGGACAATAATACTAATTGCTAACGGTACTCTTGTTGTAATAATAAAATATAACAATAATACATATAAAAGAAAAATCCACCTTTGGGTTGACTTTTTCTTTTAAAGTGCAACCTTATAATTGTTATATATTTATTATTACCGAAATGTATATATAAATAACCTTTTAAAATATTAATCTTCCATTGGGTCGATTAATATTTACTTTAACTATATATACCATGTTTAATATTTTATATGAGCAACTTACACAATAGAATCACTTTGGTGACATATTGTTTATATATACTCATTTAAATATTAAACTCCTTTTATTTTACAATTTCATCACAACTTAAAATTTTATCGCAATACTACTTAAAAAAACTTACGGTAGTTAAATAATTAATGTAATCAAACATAACCAGCGCCGATTGACTTGAAATTGAATCAATCATTATCAAAGGCAACTTAATTCACCATATTATTTGATATCATTAATCAAATTTAAAAGACAAAAGTCTATTCAGGTGCTCAATTTAATCATGCATTTAAATAGCATATATGAACGGTTGCCACATTGCTCAATAATTTCACAATGTGTAGAACCATGTATTGAGTTCAATCTGTATTCAATAGAACCATGTATGCACATTCACCCAACTATTGATATGACACGTCAATTTTATATTATTTGATCAACATAATTCAAAAACGACTTGGCATATCTCTTAATTAAAATATTAAATTAGTGACATACGAGAAAATATGGTTGCCTATCTCTTGCCAGACACATTCCACTATGTGGAAGAAAAGTACTCCGTATTCATTTAATTTATACCGCAGTAAAAAAAACTTGATTCATGTACAAAGCATTAAACATGCGATCAGAAAACGGAGTAGCAACTTAATGTCATCATCACTGGTTTATTATTAAAACTTGCAGCGGAAAAGACTTGACAGATCATTACTCAACCAATTGAATTAGGATTGAGATATGAATCAGAAAAACATTGCAATTGAAACAACTCATCAGCAGTCAAACAATATATAGTAATGTACGGCATATGACTTCGCAAATATAAAACGAAATCCAGATATCACCGATCAACTCATACGTGGATTCAAAACCATTTCATGGATCTATAATGGTAGGCTCTGATTCCAATTGTTGGATATTCATACATATATCAACAAAACTCCATATGCGATATATATATATATATATATAAATATATAATAGCTAAATTCATATAAATCCATGAAATCAAATATGTATGAAATAAGATTAGAACAATACCTTGAGAATTCATTTGCATTAACACTTTAGGAAGACCCAGAAATCCAAGATCGCTAGTAGGCTAAACCTTCCAGTGCTATGTACCGTATGAGATATTTTTTTTAGTCCTACCAATTAATGGGATATTTATAGGACAAGAGTAACTTGTAACGGTTTGGCCTTATTAATTTATAATTATTCCTTCATCATTACTACAATAATGATATTAAGTAAAATAATTTATTAGACCATTTTTCGTTACGATGTCGTTACAATTATCTCTTTATTTACATGCACCGGGGGTCATAACCGTTGTATCACTTTAGTCTAATTTATTTAATTTGACCCGTCACCAAAAGAAATATATTATTCTGGTATCTACACTTTTATTGTTTCATGAATAGCCACTGTATTATTTATCTGATGGTAAACACATTTTAATTAATTACATATTAGGCTCCTTTTATTGTTTTCCAACACCACCATATCCGGGCGGTGAAAAAAATGTCATTTTTCCTAAAAACTGCCATTTTTTCTTGAAAATGCCAAAAACATGGCATATTTCTCTTTGAGAATGCCAACATTTTCATTATTTTCTGCCATAAATATGGCATTCGTAATGAACTTGGCATTTTTTTCCCGGTGACTGGAGGTGGTGGTGCAGAGGCGGCGGTGAATTTTATTTATTTTTTTTGAGTTTTTTATCTTAAAAAAAAATAATTTTTTTATTTTTTGAAAAAAAAAAAATTAATTTATTATTATTATCGAAATATTTTTATTAGTTTTTTAGTATTTTTTACGAATTTTATTATTTTTTATTATTTTATTATGAATTAAAACATTTCAATAGCTAGAAGGGTATATTTGTCCAAGACACACATAATTAGTCCTGTGAAAACATAGTTTAGTTTTTGGTCCTATTTGTGCAAAGTGGATGATTTTTAGTCCTATTTTGATAATTAATCCTTTATCATAATGTTGTTGTTGTTGTGAAGCTGAATTGGTTGAATTATGAAAAATTATATTTAATATATATTTTGTTAGTAATATGCGTGTGTGTGAAAATAGCTAAAATGATCATGTACAATACCTCATTCTATGCAGTTAGAAAAGTAATTTCAAGCTTACTTATTTTGATTATACACACTTTAACGTGTGAAATCAGAAATTACGTGTTTGATAGAAAATGACTGACAAGATTGATCACTAGGAGTAGAACAATGGGAGAAGACTAAAAATGACACCAAAGTTCAAATTGGACACTCAACTTTTAAATTGATCAAATAAAAACTTATTTGGGCAACTTTTGACCACCTAATAACATTTCAATTTAACTACGCTTCTCCAAGTTATCCCTATCCACCCAGATTTGTCTACTTTATGTGTCTCCTCTTCGCTCCACCTATTATCCCCATTATCTTCCTCTTCTTCTAGTCTATGTCATTCAACATGAGTGTATTTTGATAATTATAAATCATTCCTTGTGCAAAGAAAACAAGTTTCTTACGAGGCTAGTATGTTAGAGTGTAGGTGAGTTTTGGTGGTGGAGCTCCAGCACATTAAACCATGGTTTCTGCTTAACAAGCCGTTGTCAATGAGAGCTACACAATATGTTCTGGCAATGAGGTGAAAGTTGCTCGCTGCTCATGAAATTATGTTTTGCTCCTCCGCTAATCTACTCAACTTCCTCGATATGAATCCGAGCCTCGACAAGCACATCGATGACATCAAGTTCATAATCTATACTAAGAGGAGTTTCACCAATTACAAGGTCAATTTGGGCGAAGGATACTACTCTTTCATTAATTATTAATTACTCATAGGAGAACAATGTCTTGGTGGATTCATTCTACCGGCCGGTATAGCCACAACTCAGCCGGGCATGGGAAAAGTTTTCCTATTATACCACGGTCGGAAACATAATTGACTAGAGCTTCAATACCTATGGTGCTAGATCCATCGGTGGCGAAGGAGTGCTCTTGACCTACGCGCAAGATGTCAATGGCCAAGAGCAGGGATTTAGATTATAATCCAAGAATGCAAAGGCGGGAAACCAAGGGGTTGTGAAGGAAAGAAAGAACGACATTGGAGACGTGAATGGAATAAGCAACTATGGGAGCAATTTCTTGGGTCTCGTTTGTAGATTCTGGAGTAGATCCAACGATAGTTGATGACTTGACAATGCGTTTGAACCGAAATGTTAGTGGGTGATCATGTATTGCTCAAATGCATTGGTTATGTGTTAAATTGGTCCATTTAAAGGTTGAGTGCCCGATTCATATTTTGTAAATAACCTTATTGTACCTTCTCCCCTAAACGATTGTGTGATTAGGCATGGATTGGGCCGGTTCGGACCGGCCCGATACCCGGCCCAGCCCACTACTGTGCGGGACCTGACAAGCCGGGCTGACCGAGACCGGGGACCCGAACCGGGGATAGGGGGACGGGCTACGGGCTGCTGAAAAGGTGCACCAGCCCAGCCTAGCCGATCCGAGACCGGTACGGGCCCAAGTTTAGGGTGGGGGTGGGAATAAATTAGAAAAACAAATTTTTTAAAAAAACCTAGATTCAACCAAACCCGAGCCCGGCCCAATCCCAGTACAAACCCGATCCGGTGCCAGGCCTGCAACCCAAAAACCCAAGCCCACGCAATCCCAGCCCAGCCGGGGCCCAATCCATCCCTTTGTGTGATGTCCAATTCTTTCTTTTATGATCTTCTGTTTAAATTTCTATTGCGCCACACGAACCAATCAATCATAAATGTGTTAGAGTTGCGCATAAGAGCATGCGAAAGAGTTTAGATAGCGCCAAGCATAGCAAAATCCTGGCATTTCAGCCGATCAACAGCCGACCAACAGTTTTTATCATTTCGGACAGCAAGTTTTTGTTGCTGTAAAAATTCGATTTTCTGAAAGGGAAAAGGGAGAACTTCATATGAATGTTATCCTAGATAAGAAAAAACAACAAAAAGTTCCACATTGAGCTCTCCAAAGCATCTATCTGCTTACTTAGTTACTTAAGCTGAAGAGAGAGCAGGTTCTTACAAAGATTATACAGCTTTTCCACCGAGAAAACCAAAAAGCTTTTCATCCTTAAATAAATCCCTTCACTTCCAAGCCAGCCAGGGTTAAAACGGGTCAGACTATCTATCAGTTTTTCTCAAATTTTCATAAAAATAACAGCTAATACGACTGGTGGGGCCAAATGAAGAATTCAGCTGGCGGGTTCTGAAACGGGATAGCAGAGACATCGCTTGACATGTCAGCACTGCCACCAGGGTGGAGGTGATGAAACAAGCCAGCATGGTGATGGTAAAAGGAAGTTGTCGGATCAAATGGAACACCACATGGAATGGCAGAAACGGGCGGAATGGCACCGAAACTTATGCCGCTTTGGTTCTGGTGGTGGTTGCTGCCTACAAGGGGAAGCGGTTTCTGTTCAGATTCCAGAGATAGCTTAAGACGCTTTGCAGCCCCGCCGACAGGAAGGGCACTCTTCATTATGGCTTCAACATCATATCGGCTCATTTCAAAATTGGTTACTGCATTCATGCCCCTGAACTTTATTGCGGCAATGTCATATGCTTCAGCAGCTTCTTCCTCGGTTGCTGAAAAAAATAACAATGTTTTATTAAAAACACACCAAATAAGATTGGATAACTATGGTTGTTTATTTCCCAAAATATCACTTGTATACCACTATGTGACCCCTTGATAACATCTACAACAAGTGCAAACCAGTGATCACTATGAATTTAAATATTTGTTGATAATAACTTAAACACGGTGTCTAATTTTGAAACATAAAGGGTAAGAAACCAACATAAATCAACCAGAACCAAAAACGGAACTTCCACAAACTCGGTATCATAATTTTCCTTTGAACTTAAAAGAAAATAACTTTTTGGTACTTCTTAAATCACTTTGGAAATTTCCTGGTCAGTGTCCTGTTTTGTAATTGAGGCGTGTAAAGGAAAATCTATAAAAAAAATTACCAAAAGTTCCGAGGTAGAGATCTTTGTTCCCAGCAACACGACCAATTCTTGCTTGCCAACGCCCTTGCTGATGATGCCTGCACAAATGCTTTTCGCTAAGTTCTTACCATCTCAATCCGAAATGCCAGCCAACAGTAATGAAGAACTTCATTAAAGATGGAAAAAGTTCAAACCTTGTCACACCGCGGTAAATAGATGCTCCCCGGGAGAATCCGCTACTTTTCCTGTCACCCATACACACACACATTATACATCAAGATAAACGTGGAGCAAACCTTCCTTAAATTCTTTAAAACATTCTGTATACATAATGAGTGCCCTCACCTTCTTAATGAAGCAATGAACTCTTGCTTAGTCATATGCTTCATGTCTTCCAATTCTTTGCTATAATTTGAAATCTGAACACAATGCCATTATCATCAGTTAGTTGCTCTTAACATATATTCATTAAAACGTTAATCTTCTTTCCTGCTCACCCAAATTTGAATTTTTAATGAACTGTCATCAATACATACACATGCCATGCAGATAATGTCTACCCTCCTTACACTGGCATAAATTACTTGTGCTGGGCCGGAACAAAAAAAGCATATAAATTTACACATATAGTGGATGTTCATTTCAAATTTGGGCTGGGCCGGCTAGCATGGCCCGCACTAGGCCATACTACAAGCGTATATATTTATTTACAAGGATGTGATGGGCCGTTGTACATTTTTTGTTCTGGGAAGGAAAAAAGGGGATGGGGGAGAGGCGAGTGTACCGGGAAGTTAGTGGTGGCTGTGGGGCCCCAGTACTTCAGTGCAGCCAAATCATATGACCTTGCCGCCTTGTCCTCCTTGTCATAACCACCTGCTCATTCCATACACTATATATAAGAATCACTGCTTGCAAAATCAAATGAACTTGAATTTATTCTTTTTCCCCTTTTTGAAAATAAAAATAGAGAGAACTTACCCAAATACACTGAATAGATGCAGCAGCAAACACCAATGCAGTACATGCAAAATTAGCAGAGAAAATATCAGCCATTAAAATAAAAGGCGATCAAACAGTAATTAAACAATAGACTTGTGATGTTCTGTATTCATTTGTGTAACGTTGTTTTTATTAGCAAAGGTCAGAAGAAGTAAATTGAAACTGGTATGTAGTAGTTAGAATAAGAGAGCTGAATCACATGGTTTTGTCAATCTCAACAAATAAGATGTTTTTATCGACTTAAGTGTTGTGTGGTCCATAGAACTATCTAGCTGTCATGCTTTAAGGTTGAAGTGTTAACTTGCTCAACCAGAGATGACAAGTACAGATATAGCATAAGACAAAAACAACGTGTGCATGTCTGTACGTGGTGCTTGCCCATATTTTCAGGTCCACACAAAGAGGGTTGTACCATTCTGTGGTTGAAACGAGTAAGAAAGGATATAGAGAGCTGGAAATTGAATAAATTTGAACAAATGACTTGCACCCATTGGCAAAACAATATACTCCATATTAGTCAACTACTTGAGTCCTTTGTTTTCATAGTCCCCAGCCTAAATTTACATGCATATTTTCCATTTCAAAACATTGGAAGGACTGCACTCATGAAGCCAAAATACTCCACAGTGCACAAAGCTAGACTTTAAATTTGGGTTTTTGTTGTATATTAAAACAATAGAGTACGTACAAAAGATGAGTTGAAAGGAGACGTACGTACATACTACACTGTATTATCATGGGAAAACGACTGGACTATGGTCAAACCTAATGAGAACTATGGCCCCCCTTTCGGGAGAAAAAGGGCAAAAGCAAAAGTTGAATATAAAGCAAAATCTGATTTACGTACACACACTAGACAAGCTCAGCAAAGGGTTGTACTGCCGTATAGCTAGGCCGCGCAAGGTCTTTTATTATATCCCACCACTGTATAACTTTTGGACAAATCTCTTTAGTCTAGGGCTACTTACATACGTAGTGAAGTATATTCTCACCAATGCATCATACTTACAACTTTTTTTTTACCAATGCATCATACACTATGTTTTAATTCATGCAATTTTAACCAAAAATAAATTGTACGGACTATGATAGTACCCTTTACAAGTTCAGAGGGGGTGCAAATCGTATCAATTATGCACTCATCCCTCATCTCTATGTTATCTTCCAAAATAGATTTGGCACGGGTTAAAATAGCGAGTATTATGTCAATTATGCACTCATCCCTCATCTCTATGTTATCTTCCAAAATACATTTCGCACAGGTTAAAATAGCGAGTATTATGTGATAAAGAGTTATAGTGAACAACAAATGATTTCCCAAAGAGAGATTATTCAGAGAATAATTTCGAAAATGACAAAAAACGAAATTTGGAAAATTATTCAGAGAGGGGGGGAGTATTTTACTTTGATCAAATATTATTCATATTCCTTCCGTCTCTAAGTCACTATCCAAAAGAGAGAAATTGCTCAGCACATACTTGCTACATTCAAGTATTTTACCTGGATCGAAATTTGTTGATCTGGTCTGGCAAATGTCGGGTTTTTGTGTATTTTATTATAAATATAAAAGTCTACTCTGGGATTGAAAACAGTCCAAATAAAAACATCATTAAAAGTAAAACAATAAAGGAATATTAGAGGGTTTCTGGTAAATGAAAAAAATGGGAAAAATATATTAAGAAGAACATAGTAACAGAAAAGTATAAAAGAGTAATTTGTAAAAAGTAAAACAAGTAAATGTAATAAAAGTGAAAGTATAAACATTTTTTAAGAAAATTGAAGAATGTTTTTATTTTTAAACTCAAGCAATTTGAGTAATTTTTCAAATAAACTTATTAAAAAAAAGAAAATGTGCAGAAATATTAAAACAATTCAAAAGAGCAAAGAAGGAAAGTAAGAAATGAGCGGTGGCAGTAGTACTGTAAAGAAACAATAATTTCGGATTAGACAAAAAGGGTACGGGGTAATTAATTTCGTAAATGGCGCACAAGGCAACAAAACTGGGTACTCTCCAGAACTTGAACAGAATGGCGGCCGATCGGATCAAATCAAGGGAAGAAAGAGCAGAGATTGCTGCTTTTTTATTTTAAGCGAGAGTAGGATAGGATCACTGGTGTTATTAACAGATGGTGGAATGTCATCATTCAATCAATCATCATAAAAGCCTGATTTGAAAGCAGCTGTCAAAATGCTGCTCTTTTTTTTTTGAATAGTTCTTCTCCGTAGTTCCACTCTCCCTTGCAGTTTCCGTTTTTATAAATAGACAAAGTTACTAGTGGGTAGCTGAGTCGGATGCGATATAAGGTTACTATGCTAAAATGCATATAGCCTGTCCAAGTACTGGAGACAGAGTCTCATTCTTTATCTGTCAGATTGTGAGTATAGTCCAATTTACATACTCCCAACATAACTCTCAACATACCGTCCGATCAGGGTTGGGGTGTCATCCTTTTTTTTAATATAGAGTATACAAAGTTTCATCTTATTTATGAGCCTACTAGTACAACAATGTGTAGTCATCTCACTTATGGTTTAGAAGTGTATCAAGGAATATGCAATAAGAATCAAAATGAGTAACTATTAGAGTTTGTTTTTCAATACATTTTATTACTAAAATATTGTTCCTTACAATTTTGTCATGTTTAACCGATACGGAAATTAATAAAGTAAAAATGGTGTATTTGAGCTTTGTAGAGATCATGGAGAATTAAATGGAACCACAAAATCTTTACTTAAATGAAAAACAGCAAAATTAGTGAGACATCCAAAAAAAGAAATGTTGACTAAGTCTAAAGGAACGGAGAAAGTATTACTCCCTCCGTCCCTAATCTTTCTCCTTTTTTGGCTGGGCACATTTATTAAGATAGTGGGATTTGTGTGGTGGAGAGTTGTGCAGAAGAGAGAGAAATGTGTAAGAATGTGTAAGAATGGTTGTGAACCACAAATTTTTTGCTAAAAGGGGGAAGAGGAGATAATTTTGGGACGGACGAAAAAGGAAAGTTTGAAGATAATTTAGGGACGGAAGGAGTACCTTCATCTCACTCAAATTTTCACAGTTGATGGAAATAATTAGAACAGTAAAAATCATATGGCTGTGTTTTGTGCATAGAAAAAAGAAATGAATAGAACCACAAATTCTTTGTTTTAAAAGATAAGTGACAAACAATTTGAGGTCTTGGAGACAAACAAAAAAAGAAACTTGAAAAAGTCCAATGAGAGGGAAAGAATATTTTCAATATGCCCTTCTTATTTAAAAATTCTCTACGCTTTCTTTAGGGTTGTATTTAAAAGTTCCGTACACTTCCATGTTTGGTAAGTTTACCCTTTATAAAATACTCAACTGCCCTTATTTTATCTACATTTTATCTTCGATTTCATACTTTTACACCTTTTCTGCTGAGGATGTATAATTTTTGCAAATAAATTTCATCAAATTCATCTATTCAACAAATACAGAGTATAATCATTTTGATGGATACCTTGATTGTTACGTAAATACTTCCTAACATCTAATTTTTTCTCAAAATGAAATGTTAACACAAATAAGATTAACTACTGATTTTAATGACAAATTTATTTGAAAAGTAATTAAATAAGGTAGATTGAGTAATTAAAGTAATTTGAAAAGTAATCAAATAAGATTATCAGAAATAAATTTGATTGTGATGTTATATGTGTACTCTCTTCGTCCAAAATCGAGACGGCCAAAAAAGGGTTTTATTATTCTCTTTGTAACATATTACCAGTCCTAGTTTCTTATGTGACACAATTTCTTATTTTGAAAAGAAATACTCGGTATGTAATTTACAGCATTCTACTTATTTAACTCAACATCTTTTACTTTCAAAATCTTTTATTTTTTTAACCACTTAATTAACAATGTGTCAAATCAAAATATGACATAAAGATAATAGATGTAGTATGCTACGGTATTAATTAACTATAGAAAAAGAAAAAGTTTAACTGGAACGTCATAATTGTTGAAGATAAGAATGTGATGCGTGTGTATTAAACAGCGCTTTTTAAGTTTTAATTAAAATGCGAGTGAAGTAGAGAAACGTTTTTTTAATTAGCACATGATTATTGATTGCGATTAACATACCAAAATATCCGGACAAGAAGATAAACCAACAAAAGTCAAGTCTGTGTTCGGTGGTACAAAACAAAAACAGAGGTAAGAACCGCGATGACGTAAATTTCCAACACACAAAAGAGAGTCAAATTTGAGTTGATAAGGTTCTTCGGGTGGAAAAATAACCATTACCATCCATCTATCAACACGCTGTGTATCTAAAATACTCCGCTTTATTTACTTGCTACCGGTCGCATTTCATGTAATTTTGAGCTTAAATTACATGAGCAGTTAATAACATTAATTTGAATTGGATGGCAAGTAAAATGACACTCATTGTACGTGGTTAGATAGATGATGGTATGTACCTTGACGGCCTTTTCTGGCTTGACCCTCCCTTCTACAGCTGTTATCCCATAGATGCGCTTCGTACCTTCCTGTCCATCTATGCCTGCAACAATTTCTTCCAAATTATGAGTACTCCTCAACACAAAAAAAAGGATGGACTATATTATGACAGATAGAAAGTGAGTGGAGCTATGTCCCCGATGTTTGCAGAGGCCTTATGAATTTTTAACACTGTGACACTCCTTTCTTATCCGTCGAGCTACGCCCACTGGCGAGTACTATTCAATACATACAATACACACGGAGTGCATATATCATATGCAAATCTTAAGTTGGATATATCCATTTATGAGATACTGCGATTGCGACGTAAAGAGAGTGAGTAGCTACTACACTACGCACATCTTTATCATCAAATCAAATCATCATTATACCAAAACAGAGAAATAATTAATGAAATCAAAAACGGTACCTTGTAACTCCTCTGTATATGGATGTTCTCTGCCCGAACGTGTCCGTGATTTTCTTGCAGCCCTCGGAATCCACGGCAACAATGGCCCCGGCGTTATCGGAGCCCAGGGGATTCACCGCCAGAGATAACGCTCCCGTCTGGCACTGCGAGTACCCCAAACCGCCGTTCACTGACTCGCCGCCGTTCATCACCTGCTGGGACCGCCCGACCGAGGCCGAGTCGTCCACGTCCGACTCCGAGTTCGTCGAGAACGCCTGAAACCCAGCTATCGTCTTCAGATCTTGCTGCTCGTTAAAGTACGCTTCCGCACAACCGCGGCCGCCGTGCTCGTAGATGTGTGTCAGCGAAGACGAATCCTGGGTCTCCGTCTGGCTTTCGGAGTAGCGGACCAACGCCGAGTCGCCGCACCCGCCCAGAAAATCCTCCAGCGGCGGCGGGTGGTGGATTTGCGACCCCATAAAGCCGTGAAAACCCGACGGCTCTCCGTTTAGACTCAACCCGGCAACTTCTCTTTCCCTATTTTCAGGCGAATACATCATTTCAGGTTTCGGGTTCGCCCAACCTGCAGGACGTAAGGGGAATCGATCATGAGAAACTCTATTTATATCTTTAATCGATCGAACTTCAATGGGTGAGACGTACATGCATACATACATATCAACCAGCCAACAAGTTCAGCTAACGTTTCAAATCTATTTATCTAAACCCAAAAAAAGATGGACTGATTAACTACTTTGGGCTAAACAAACTGACGAAGCTAAGGTTATTTCAAAAAGCGGAGCAGAAGTAATTAAGACCGAATGAAACCAGACTAGGCATTTTTTGTTGCCACGCTTTCCCAGAAAACGTTATTTTGGAGACTCTGAGAATTGAAGAAGAAAAGGTTTTGACTAAGACTTAACAACCATTATAATTATTCCAATACACCTACATATTCCAACCGGGGGAGGGATGAGAAGTTTCATTACCGTTGGTGTAGAAATGATCTGCGAAGTAATAATGGTGAGAATCGGAAGGAGCGAAGGTGGCGGCAGGCGGCGGCTGCGAAGACGACGAGTTCATCATCTCCGCCGATGAAACAGCGAACGACAACCAGTTGTTTTCTGGCGCCATGGCCTTGTTTAATTTTAAGCTTCAATTCAAAGAAAGAAGACAAGAATCCCAAAAAAATACTTAAGCCATCATCATCTGATCTCGAAATGGGAGGGGGAGACCATGCAAATTCTACTTTTAGCAAGCAAAGATTGAATCTTTTCCTTGTTTCCCAAAAGAAAGAAAAACGGAGAGACGAAACGACAAAGCTTTTCTTTCCCAAGAAGAGAATGGGGCTGGCTTAAATAAAGCAATTTGAAAACATTTGAAAGGGAAGGGAAGGGATTGGATCAGGTGTGAACAGATGCCGGTGGAGAAAAGGGAGCAAGTGGAGGATTATAAGGGGAGAGAAGAGCGGTGTTCATCTGCCATCCGGCGTTATGCCACAGGGGCTTTTCCACGGCATCAATTGTTTCTATGACGTCACATACCTAGCCTCTATTTTAAACACATTTATGATTTTTTCTCTACTCATCCCCCACTTTATCAGATTAATCCTAAATTACAGATAATTTATCCTCTGATCATGAGCATTGTGAAAATTGTGCTTTCTTTGTTCACCAAAATTGTATTGATAGAGTACATGGTCTAGGCCGCAGGACCCACATACTCAGAAGAACAGAAAGTACAAGCCACTACGCAGTGCCCTCGTCGGCCAAAGGCCCTTCGTCGGCCGAAGAGGGACCGACTCAGAATATGATCCTGAAGCCAGTGAACCAGGGTGTCCTCATCAGCCGTGCCCTCATCGGCCGTGCCCTCGTCGGTCAGACCCTCGTCGGCCGCGGAAGTCTCGCAGAACTAGATTTTACACTTATTCATTTATATATAAGAAATTATATTAAATGGGACTAAAACATAGTTAAAACTCCAAAATAGGACTTCAAGTTTTAAATTTCCTAAATGAGACTCCACATTACCTTTTTGCCCCTAATCCCTAAATCACCTTTTCCCCAAATAGCTCTAACCCTTCTGCACTCGTCGCTGCATTCTCGCCATCGACTGGAATTCTTCGTAGCAGCCCTGCACATCTCTTCCTCCTGTGGACTGCATCTCCGCCATCGGCTATGGCGTCGCACCGTAGCTCCGCCATCGACCATAGGTATTCTCCTCCCCCTCCTTTCTTCTTCTTCCACCTCTTCTTCTTCTTCTTCTTATTCTTCTTCTAATCCTCTTCAAATTTTTGGTCCTCTGTTCTCTTCTTTAAATTTTTTGGATTTGAATTTTATTTATTAATTTGGACCTTTTGGATTTGAATTTATTTATTCAGTAAAATGTCACTTTTATAATCCCAGAATGTCAAAATTATTGGTTATTTGGAAAAAATGTCACGTTTGTGACAGTTTATTTACTGAGATGACAATCTGAAAATGTCACTTTTGTTTTGAAAATGTCATGAAAGTGACATTATTACTCTGGAAATGTCATTTTCTTCTTTGAAATTGTCACCTTAGCAAATGTAATGTCATGAAAGTGACATTATTAGAAATCAGTGTTCAATTAAAGATCAACTATGTCATTTTTCAGATTGAAGTGATTAGAACAATAATATGAATCTTTTAAAAATAAATTACTCAGGATTATAAAAACTTGGAAATCCAAAAGAAGAAGAAAATAGAAGACCTGTAGAAGAAGAAAACAAGGGAGCTTGAGAAGAAATTAAGAGATGAGTACAAGAAAAGATCGGAAGAAACTTACCTGGGGAGCCGTTCATCCGTGCATCGCAACTCGCAAACGACCTTCATCGCACCCAGTGAATTGTTGCAGCCGGAACTAAGAAAGGGCAATTTTGTCCGATCGGTAATTAAAAGTCCTATTTAGGTAATAAAAAACTTAATGTCCCACTTTGGAGTTTTAACCAAGTTTTAGTCCCATTTGGGAAATTCCCATCATTTACTTTGTATTCGGTCCAATAGCAGTCCAGATGTAAATGGGCCTCCCAAGCGCAAGGCTTGGGAGCCCAGCCCGTATTTTTCCTATAAATACTTCCTCTGGAGGTAGTTGTTGGGGTTACAAAAATCATTCTATTGAAGCATTTACTTGCATTTCTCTCTCTAGCTCTCACTTCTCTCTAGATATATACTCTATCATTTGGTGCTTTCATTGAGAGCTAGAACAATCAAGTTAGCACCCTTCGTCGCTACCAAGCACAGCTAACCACTGATCATGGGAAGAACCAAGTCAAACCGCAACCTCGTCAGCAAGGCCATCCCTGAGGACCAGGAGACCAGGGAGCGTGAGGAGGACGCCACGGCCGACCAGGTCAGAGGAGGGGACGTCTTCCAGGAGGCCATCAACCTCACGACGGACCTCCGCAACCAACTCAACGGCAGAGCCCCCGATGCCCGCATCGGCCTGGACAAGAAGCGTGCAGAGAAGACAGACCACGCCCCGAACCAGCCTATGGCCGCGGCTTCTCCGTCTGTGGACCCACAGGTTCAGGCCGCATTGTCGGTCATCATCGCCAGCTTGGCCCAGAATCCCACCGTCCTCAGCGCACTCTTGCCAAGGACTGGGGGGAACGTCACCCCACCTCCTCATCCCCAACCGTTGGCCACCAGGTTAGGCAACGATGAGGGGTGATAGCCTAGGACACGACGTCGTCCCACTCCCACCCCGCTTCCCCTCTTCGGCCTGGGCAGACCCCAGCACGTGGAAAAGCCTCCGCCTTCAATAGGCTAGGTGACACGCGCCGTCGTCCGGTTTCGGGGAGGATGGCAGGGCAGATTGGTGAGCGTCGGCCTGGCTCGCCAAGAGAAAGCTTGGGGTCTGTGTCCCGGACAGCGGACCAGCCCCGCCTTGACAAGGGCAAGGGAAAGTTGCACGAGGATGACGTGCGCCACCAGATCAACGCGGCCCACGACGAGGGCATGAAGAACCAGCAGGGCGCCACTGCAGCCGCTAGGGATCCTCGGGACGAGGTCATCGCCCAGCTGGAAAGGAGGCTGGCCAGATGGAGGCCAGGCAATTGGCAAACATCCCCACGGCCGGCGCCTCCAACGATCCTGGCCTCAACTCTCTCATGAACAAGGTCAGCGCCCTTGAGAGGGAGTTGGTCGAAGGACGAGGTGACCCCGTCATCCAGATCAGGACCAGGACCCCTTTCACTAACAGGGTGCTCTCGGTCCCCATCCCGGAGAAGTACAGGGGAAACGCCATCAAGTCCTACGACGGCCGATCAGACCCTCAGGAGCATTTCAGTCGCTATCAGAACAACATGCTGATGGTGAACGCGTCGGATGAATATCTCCGTTGTTGGTTCCTCTCCACTCTTGAGGGACCGGTGTACGAGTGGTTCAACGCGCTCCCCGAGGGGAGTATAGACTCATGGCAGGACCTTGCCCAGCGCTTCCTCACCCACTTTGCCGGGAGGAAGCGTGCGAAGAAGTATTTCACCCATCTCCTCTCCGTCAAGCAGCAACATGACGAACCCCTCCGGTCATTCATTGATCGGTGGAAAAGGGAGACCGAAGAAGTCGAGGGGGGCGATGAGCGCACCCTCCTCATCCTATACCAGGGAGCCCTCCGCAGCTCCCCGTATGCCAGGAGCCTCATCACCAACCCTCCGAGGTCATATGCAAAAGCGCTTCAGCGTGGGAGTTTGTACGCTGATGCCGACGAGCTCCACAACCACAAAAAAGACGGAGGCCATCCCCCCAAGAAGACAAATCCTTCGCCGGCCCCGGGAGCATCCCCGGCCTGCCAAGGTGCCCAGGGCCGTCACGGCTCTGGTGGACAGAGCAAGAAAGACCGCCATTGGCGGCCGAGGTTGGAGCGGACGAGGGTCCCCCTCATTCACCCGGTCAGCACCATCCTCGACTATGCCGAGAAACATGGCCTCATTAAACAAGCTCCTCGGCCGGCGGAGGAGGTCCTTGCCATCCAGCAAGGCGGCACATACTGCCGATTTCACAAGAACTCCTCACACAATACCGACGACTGCATCACGCTGAAGAAAGCCATCGAGCGCCTTATTCGTCAGGGGGAACTCTCCCAATTTGTTAAAGGTGGCCCGCACAAAAATACGTGGGTAAACACCGGCAAACCTGGGGGTGAACCCTCTACGAAGAAGCGGGAGATCGGTAGGCTCAGCGACGACGAAGATTTTGAGGAGCCTCTGCCAAAGAAGAACCATATTCACCTCATCGTAGGTGGGAATACCGGGGGGACTCCGTCACCCAGAGGAAGAAATGGACCCAATCCCTTTACATTGGGGAGGTGTCCCACGTTCCCCCCAGCCGACGAAGCAGTGAACGGAGGCGATCACCTTCACCGACAAGGATCTGCCTCCGGGTACGGAATCACACAGGGACGCCCTCGTCATCCGGTGTGAGATCGGTGAATCCATCATCCACCGCACTTACATCGATACGGGGAGCTCTGTTAACGTGATGTACCTGGACATATTCTAGCAGCTAAAGCTGGACAAGGCTCTGCTGAAGCCGATCAAGACACCGTTGTCCGGCTTCACCAGGGACTCTATCGACGCCGAAGGCACGATAGTCCTCCCCGTGGAGGTCGGCGACGACTCCCACCGCGCCAAAATTGACATGGAGTTCATGGTGGTCAACCTTCAGTGCGCCCACAACTTGATTTGGGGGCGGCCAGCACTGGAGGACCTGGAGGCCATCATCTCCATGAAACACTTGTGCCTAAAGTTCCCCACCAGCGGAGGCATCAGCTACGCCAGAGGAAACCAGAGGATAGCCAGGGCATGCTACCTCAAGCTGACGAGGCCGGCCGAGAGGGAAGGGCAGAGAATAGACACCATCACGGCAACCGTTGCCAAGGACGAGCAGAGAAGGGCAGAGGAAACCAGAGGATAGCCAGAGCATGTTACCTCAACCTGGAAGGTGATTACCCACCGGCTGACCGTCGATCCGGCCTCCGCACCTGTCAAGCAGAAGCGACACTACTTATCCGCCGACAGACGGGACTTCGTCAAAGGGGAGGTCGCCATGCTCCTCTCAATCAACCACATCAAAGAGGTGAAGTACCCGACGTGGCTAGCCAACGTCGTCCTCGCCCAAAAACCACCGACATAAAGAATGTGTGTTGATTACACTGACCTGAACAAGGCGTGCCCCATGGACCCGTTCCCTCTCCCCAACATTGATCAATTGGTGGACGAGACGGCAGGATGCGAGTTGATGTCGTTCCTCGACGCCTTCAGAGGGTACCACCAGATTTTCATGCATGAAGATGAAGCTGAGAAGACGGCCTTCATGACCCCGGAGGGAATTTTTTGCTACCTCATCATGGCTTTCGGGCTCAAAAACTCTGGCGCCACCTATACCAGGATGGTGGCTAAGATCTTCATAGCAGTCCTCGGTCGGACGATGGAGGCATACGTCGATGACA